TAAATCTGCTTAAAAAAAATGCGTGTCAATGGTTGTCGAATCTTCAAAGTTTATTGGAAAATCATGAGAAGAAGAAAAAAACAAACAAATTGAAGAATCTAAAATTTGGATGAGAGCGTTCAAGTCAACATTTGCTAGTTTCAAAAACTTGAACACGAAATTTTACTACAGTGAATGAGATGGAAAGCAATGGCATTTTTTCTTGCAGATTGGGAGTTGATTTGCACATAAAAAAAAACAATGAAAACATTAGATTAGAATGCAACCTTGGATAATGTATTGGGTAATGGACCTTTGTTGGACCATGATGCAATATTTTTACTTTTATTCTTAGGAGTCTTTTGGTAATATTATAGACGCTTTGATTTTTAGCCTCGAACATGTACGTACAAATATTTAAAATTGTCACCTTCTAATAATGCTTGAGATTTTAGAAACCGCCTAACCATTTTAAAAATAAGCGTCCACATACCTAAAATCCAAGGATGAGGAAAATTATTGCATCGGTAGTTTAGGGATGAGGAAAGATATTACATAGGTAGTTAGTGACATCCAATTACAGTGAGTGATTAAAAATTGTTTATTGTTTTCAAGCTTTCTTTTGATGATGAGTTAAAGAACAACTACACGATGATGGAAGCAAGATAATTGTTTAGTAGTAAATTTCAGTCAAATATGTTGAATCTATTTTACTACTTAAACGCAACGCAGCAAAAACTAATAAATATTTTCCAAAACATATAACCAGAGCTCTATTGAAAGTTTTATGTGGCCCGCAATTTGTCGCAACGGATCTTCTGTCCCACACTCGTGCCACTCTCTGTCCCACTTTTTATTATATTGCTATTTCTCCTTCATAAACATCATGTTTTAATTCTTGCTTGCTTCCTTAAGATCCAATAACTATTAATTCAGTAAAAAATAAATATAACAGCTTCAAAAAAGCAATATATAATAGAAAATTAAAAAATACAGTAGAAAATTCATAAAAAAATCTCATTTTTTATGTATTTTGATTTTTTGAGTTTGTTAAATTTTGTGTATTACTGAATTAATAGTTATTAGATCTTAAGGAAGCAAGCAAGAATTAAAACATGATGTTTATGAAGGAGAAATAGCAATATAATAAAAAGTAGGACAGAGTGGCACAGAGTGTGGAACAGAAGATCCGTTGCGGCAATTTGTAATCTGCCACCGCCAAATGCCAACTTCTTGAAATCATAAATGACGTGAGTAAGGAACTTTTGGTAAGGTTCTATAGGTTGGATTCGCATCACCAAAACTCTTTAGCTCCCAGGAGAAGATGGTCATCTTGCTTTCTGATGGACGACTTCCCACATGTGGTTACCGATGACTATCATTGTGAAGGACTTTTATAACTATACCACGGATGGTTTTTTTTGGGCTTCAGCCTTCAAGTGCTGTTCTTTCATGGAATACTTGACAAGTTTTGGATCTTTGTATGGCTCCCATTTTTGTGGGACATCGACTAGGTCCACACTGGTCACTTTTGTAGGGGTTGCTTAAATGTATCCGAATAATCTCAGTCAAGACACTAATTGTTATGTCAATGGCAAATTCCTAAAAGATGATTGATGAGATCAAAGATTCAAAGCCATCCATAAACTGTGCAGTTGAAGACCTTCTGTTGGTGATATAGATTTTTAAGAGCTGCTGGAGCCTAGAAATCTTGAAAAATCCTACTGATACTGTGATACATGCTTTTGTTTGATGTAATTCATCTTGATTATGTGACAGTCAACATCTCGACTCTGTTTTCGTCTGTCATCTTCGGGTGTTAGTCTTGAGTGACTTTTCAATGATTTGATTACAATGAATACATGCAGAAGTAGGAAAATGAAGAGATGTGACCTGAGTGGGCTGATGGAGATTAAAGCTTGCCGAAGTATGCATATATTATTGAGTGGGTTTTTCATTCATTTGTTTACAACGAAAACATACAAAGAAGAGGGCTTAATAACGAGATGTGACCTGATGGACTGGAGTGGATACGTGGTGGCGAACCATGTAGAAATGTCAATAAGGATGACAAAAGCGTTAACCAAGGGATTGAGAGATATCAAATGTGTATGGTATTCCATGGGGTAATTTTCGAGCTTTTCATTGCTGTCTCACCATTAATAGGAAAAAGTGCCTGAGTTTGCGAGTGTTTGTGTAGTAGTGCATGAACTAGCAACTTCAGGAGCAAACACAATTTTTTTACTGCACCTCCTTCTTTGGCTGCAGAATCAATTAACAAGATGACAGCTATGTGCCTGCTGTTACTGCTTGTCTTCTTCTTTTTTGTTTTATTATTTTTCATTATTAAGCACATGAATACATGATGAGCAGCAAGTCTGGTTGTGTTTCCGTCTGGAAAGAGCTCAACCTCATGGCGCAAAAGGTTTACGCCTGTGGAAGTTGCATTGGAATTTATAGAACATGACAGTTTTGAGTTAGGAGTTTCAAGATTTTAATAATATGGACTCGGTACGTAACTGTGAGCTTAGACATGGATTTGTACTTTTGCAGGATGACAAATCAACTGTAAACCGGGATGTGTTGATGAATACTACTATTAGCCCTTAATGGTCTTACACCATACATTGTGATTTGCCACCAAATGGCACCGTCGCAGTCTAGAAAATTCCTTCTCCAATCTCCATGGAATCTCCAAAACCGCCCTATAAAGCGAATGCAAAGTCTGAAATTAGTAGTACGTAATTTTATGGCTCAGATGCAAGACTAATTTTGATGCTTATGTGGTTAATTTTAGTGGTTTGCTGCGTTGCATGACGGTTTGGTAATTCATGGTTCAAAGTCGCGGTCGGAGTTGAGGTCGCGGCTCGAACCATTCCACGTCGGTCTCGACATATTTTGAAGCATTTAATATTCTAAAAATATGAATAATATTAAAAAATATGCTAAGCAAAAATAATAAAAAAATTGGAAAAAGAAAATCTGTAAAATGTAAATTTATGAGTTGACTCGGGCCGATTCGGTTGAGACTATCCGTATCGGAGACTTCTCGGCCGAGTTCTCAGTGACTCGATCGAGTTTTCGGCTAGTCAAGTATTTCGAAATTATTTCGTTTCGGTATCATATCAGAGAGGTCCATTCTAGTGACAACTCCGCCGAGACTTTGAATCATGTTTTGGGTTACTTAATTCATTTTTTGACTTACTTATTTATACTCATTTATGCCAATCTAATTAAATGGGTATAAATGCGTTGACTCACATATACCCATTACCCATTTTACCCAACCCAAATCCGTCCAAATCACCCATTTTGACAACTCTACTTTGAACCATGTTTGGTACACATTCTGAGTTCACCTTCCTCAGAATAGTAGTTATATTAGAAATATATATTAGTCTGTTGTGTATCCTTAACATTAACATAGTAGTTATTTAGCATAATCTATAGTCCTTGCTCTCTTTCTTAGTGCCTGCCTTTGTGTGATTACAATGTAAGTGCACGTGTGTGCACGGAAAAAAGAATGATTGGAAACAACGACGAGGTTGTAACTCTTATTATTATTATTATCATTTTTTTTTTAAAACACAATGAGGACAAAGATTTCAGTCAGCATGTGGGAAGAAAGTTTGACTTAAAAGGAGGACATCAGTAGATTAGTTGCTCAGTGTTTAGATGACAATAATTGTGTCAATAGTTAATACAAGCTGGAAAGCAGGAAAAACCAGGACATACAACAAAATTAGGCGCGAGGTAGGTAGCCTAAGATAGAATTGGTCTTTTAATCCTTGTGAAGTTCAGTAGTTGTAACATCTATCATTACTGCTTTAGAAAAGGTTGAGGTAGTAAGTTGGTACTGATTTTCAATGGGATATCTAAAATTAGAAAGAAGATATCATTTCCAAATAGCTATTAATAACAGATCTCAGATTATGGTAGTGTCTGCCAACTTTTACTTGTTTGATCATATTGATTTGACAATCCGTTACATACCTTCCAAATAGATGACTTGCACAACCTAAAATTCTACTCTTGGAAAACAGTAAAGGAATTATATTTCTGGGACTTGGAGAACCATTATTTATTAGAGTACCACGAAAGAAATGTCAGTATACGGTACACATAGCTGGGGGATGTTGTCTTTTTCTTATAATCAGGATCATTCTCCAAGAAATGGGTTCATGCTGAGGATGGTAATACCTTCGATTAAGATTTGGAAGAAATCCCCGAAAAACAAAAATTCAATTATTGTACCTGTAGTGTATCATATGGATTACATTTTCTAGTGAGTGGCTGTCATATATAAGAAGTGGGGTTCCGTCTTTGGTCCCGTTTACTGGAAAATGAGACTTAAGTGGTTCAAGATTCCTCACAGGTATTGTCTACATCGAGTTTTAGAGGGATTTATTACCAAATCTGCCCATTCCAATCCACCTCATGAGTTTTCTCTCAGGCTGGCAATCCTCCAAGAATGGGAGAATGTGGCTCAGTTCTTGGCCTTACACTTGGTCTGCGTTTGATCATGGCCCTCCACTGGCCCTCTTCCTCTCTGTTGTTTGTCTATGTTCTGTACACAGCTTAGATTAGTTATCTAATTATGTCCAAGTGTGATCCCACAGATGTACTAAACATTTGTGCATCACATGTTTTTATCAATAACAGGATAACGTTCTGGTTCCGTTATTTCTTCTCAATGTCGCACTCTACAGTCGTAGCAATATAGCATTCTCGCTTACTCTATCTATCGAGAACTTCTATCGTGTACCATACTGAACGATTCATTTCTTGTAAATGTGATGGTTACATCGCAAAGCGATTAAAATACAATCTAAATTTGAAATTTTATGCTTTCTTACGGTTACGGTAATTACTGTTGAGGATAATCTCTAGTTTCAGATGAATTCCTTAAGGAATGAATGCTGTGAAGTTGCTAGCTACCTAGCAGGTTTTCGGTTGTGAAGCGGTCCTGAAGGTGATAAAAAGAGAATGCACAAACAAATAAGGCAACCCCAAAACAATTGTAATAGTAGAAAAAGGAAGATTTTTAGTATTTACGTTCTCAGGCGTTCTGCACTGCATAGACAGCAAGAAACATACATAAAGAAACAGCAATAAACAATGGGAAAAACAATTTCCTTCAGATATATTGTATCTTTTCCTTTTGACAGGTGCGAATGCTGTCTACCTAACTGCTGCTGCATAAAGAGAGAACATGGTCTGCAACTTCTTATTGATATTCTTTTCCCCAATTAAACCTCCTCCTGTTAATCACAGAGCACACAAGGTGTAAGGATTAATAGGTCCCTGAAAACTACGGCGACATTAATGTATAGGATGAAACTCGACCTGATCTCTCTCAATCAGCTTTTCCTGTCATGCGAAGGCTTCAGAAATCCAAAATGCTTCCTCAGTACAGACTTTTCCTGAATGAACACACAAATTTGCGTGAATACTTGGACGCAGGAGTATCACATAAAGGGAAAAAGATTCAGAGAATAAAGCAGGAAATGATAAAGATTGAAATTTTCTGAAAGCAGATATGTGAGAACCTTGGATTGTGTTGCAGAAAAGCCTCGAGAGATGCCTGAACCGTGCTCGATTAGATATTTATCATCTGTAAGAAGGGCATTGTTCTGAAAGATGAAAGTACTGTAATGCTGTTAGAGAATATTCAACGAGAAAATTAATCGTGCACGCCAGGCTGACAATTGACTTGCCTTGGAGAAGCTCTGGGCAGGGGAGCTAGCAGTATCGTCAAGATGGAAATTCTGTTGGGTCTTCCTGTGCTCTTTTGCTTTCTTTTTGTGCTTGCCCTTGTTTACCTCTGAGGCCGAAATAGTGGAATTGTATCTGGTTTCTTCAGAACTGCCTTCATCCTGATGGAAATGTGGAGGGCCAGATGATGCATCAGACAGCATGGATGAATTCTCGTCTTCATCATCCTCATTGACATACACTCCTTTGCTTCTGCAATCAAAGCCAAGTGGCATGCTTCTGTTGCATTGATCGGCAGAGGTTGAAAGCTGATCAAAATACATGGTCCAGCCAGACTCGCATCCACCGCTGTATTCAGAAGTTGATGCATTCATTCTTAAGCAATTCTTGAGAATAACAGATTCTTTGACGTCGCCTTCTTATATTTTGTGACTAAGAAGAGCAAATAAAAAACAATTATAAGTCGCCCTGTTTTTTCCTTCGTTGCTTGACAACTATCCAAACAAATTGTGTATTGAAATCCTATACTATTTTTGTCCTGTGCACTATCTTTTGCCTTTCTAATTTCATCTGATTTTGTGGAGAATCATATTGCCAGTTGGCTTGTCATTTTGTTTTGGTGGGGTGGGAAAAGGATAGGAAGGCGGTGAAAGGGGCTGTAGTTATTTGTTCAACAAATACTCAAGTTCTGTAACAACGTAAGAACAATTACTGTCTTTATTCAACACGTATACGTTTGTACCCTTTCGCGGGAGCCAATGTTTTCTTGTTGAAACTCCGAATGAAATAGCAAGCAGTTTCATTCAACAGCAACAAATTTCATAAACTGAAATGAATGATGCAATTCTCAACATGTGTATAAGATAGTGAATCATGAATTTTTATACCGATTCATTAGCCTTCAACTTTCCAATCTTTTGTGCATGAAAAGTACTCGGCCTTATTTCCAAAAGGCTTCTTAAGCATGACCTATTGTTTGGAAAAATTATTTAGTTTGACACCGTAACACTTTTTGTAATGTAACGTAACGTATATGAGATAAAAAAAAAAAGTGATCATAAAACATGTATGCGTACATGATGTAAGTCAAATAATTACTTCAAATAATGAGATCCAAACATAAATTGAAATAAATTTGTAATGCAATTGGTGCCACATGGACTTCTAATGTTAATCTCTACTCCCACAATTTCATCCCTTATTCTCACTACTCATTCTTTCATTTTTGATCTTTTTAATGGCATTAGATTAATGCATTTTCTGATATGAGTTGCACACAATCTAGAAAAAGGGGAATAAAATTATCCCAAGCTTGACGGTCTCCAATTGGTTTTCACTGAGTAATAAACTTATTAGTATTATTATTTTAGTTTTACTACGGTGAATACTATAATGTTGCTAGGAGGTTAGTAATTTCCTTTTGATAACATGTCAATTAAGTCTCTGCCGTCTCAGTTTCTTGAATCTCCATTTGTGGGTGAAAAAGCTTAGTAATTTTTAGTGTTTATCGAACGCAAAAGTGATAGGAACCTGTTGATGGCCTACAACTATTTTTTTGTCACCAAATATTCTAACTAATTGAAAGCGGAGTTACACCAACTGAAATTAATACTATGTTCTTTTATCTCCTTATTTCTTCTCTTTTTCAATATAAAAAAAAAAAAATAGATGTGGGCTTTTTAACTTTTGGCCCATAAGCTTAACCATTAAATTCCCCAGTGGTCTCCCTGCCGAAACTCATTAGCCCAACCGTAAGAAGGTTTGGACGTTTGGTCCATCATTTCTTCAAATTGAGCGTTCTTTTCCTCTATCCCATTTCTTCACCATCTAGTTTCATTTTTTACTCTGACCCTCCAAGAACAAAATTGACTGTCCTTGGAGGGTTCTAGTAGGCCCGTCAACGGGTCAGGTCCGGGTCAAAATTAATAAATTCAGACTTGGACCCGGACCCGTCATATTATATTAATTAGTTTTGTATCCGTTCGTTGAACGAGAATCATTGAAAAAAATAAAATATTTAGTTAATTTTATAAAAATGTCGATATAAAATACAGATTTAATATATAATCTATTATAACTTGTCTTAAGTATATTACTATGTAAAGTATACAAACTTATATAAATTATTTTTATAGTATAAATTTGAACATCTAATTCAGTGAATAATAATTCAAAAATGAAAAAAATAACATTCAACAATACCGTAACATTCAAAAACTTGAAAATAAATAAAAAGTGCAGTAAATAGTATCAAATAATATTCTACTCTTCAGAAACTTGTTTTGTTTTTCTTCTGTTTGAACATTTTCCTCGATTTGTCTGTGCAACTCAGCATTTATTGATTTTTCATTATTACTGCATGATAGCAAAGCAGGATTTAATTAGCCACACTATTTATGGTATTTGATGTATTAAAGTGGGTAATAATTTTATAGTAAATTGTATTTGTAGACTTAGTTGACTATATATTATGCCCATGAAAATCTTGTTGCGTTGACTCTTGAACACCAACATACATAAATTTCGCAAAAGGAACCAAAATAAATTTTCCCCTTTGAGTTCATGATCACTCAAGAAGCATAGACCAAATGCTTATAATATGAATATTTAACAGCAGTGTCAGACATAGCAAAAAAAATTCAACTAAAGTAACTAACAATAATAATAGCTAAAGACACAAATTTCGTGAAGAAATGTCTTAGTCAATGGATTATTAAAAATTTAAGAATAACATGGGACGTAATCAACAATAACAGACGTAATCAACAATAACATTTACTTCCATAAAATTCTTACATCTAAAGATGAACATATTTTTTTAAAAAAGAATCTTTTGGCTCGCTGAAAACAATTTCATTACAAAAATTCTGGACAACAAAACCCATGAAAATTTATATATATAAGGTGAAAATTTGATTAAAAAATATTTACGAAAAACATACGTAATTTTTGAAAAAAAAAATGACAATCCATGCAAAACCTCGTTAGTCAAGGAAGTTGTCCGTCTACCGAAGTTTTTACTTAGCATAGTTGCATCCTTTTTAAACTTTTCATTCATCTTGTAAACTTGAATCTTTCAGCAATTGTTTGTTCTCATTTTTTTGACATGTTTAAAAAATGAAAATTATCATGCATTCGAAACGGCTCAATAGGATTTCTTTTAGTCAATGTCATGAGATTGATCTTCGCATTAATCAGTCAAAAAAAAGACTCCAAAGCTATCCACAAAACGGGTGCACCCATTTCAATGTATTGACGCGTGCATGACTGCTTGTGCGATTCCCTTAAAACTTATTTCTGATTTGATGCATGTGACCAATTAAGGAAATTCGATGGAAATTCCATTTGACAATTTTTCAATGGATCTTGCTCGTTTTGTCATGTTCAGCTTACAAAGAGCATGTGGCATAATTTTATCACTCAATTATTTAGAGTTATTTACTTGGGACAGTAAAAAAATTATTTTACCCAAAGTGGTCTTTGAACCAATTAAAATATATAACATTAAATCAATTACATTTTGGGACTGAAAACGTGCATGTTAAATCAATTCCTATGTCTTCATACAAAACAAAAAAAAAAAAACAAAATTCAAGATATGTTACTAAACTCTTACAATTGAAGATCAACATGTCTTTTTTTAAAAAAAAATATGTATTGAAAGAAGATGTACCTGATAATCAAGAGGAGGTTGAAAACTCAAAATTGATGCTTTAATGTACCAACCGCTTGTACTGAAAATACCTAACTATGAATTTGATACTTGAAATCAATTTATTAGAGGCTATATGTAGTGTAGGCATAAAAAATAAGAATTGATAAGAATATAAAGAGATATTGATAAGAACATTAAAAGTAGGTTTATCTTGATTTAAGTTGCTTAAGTACATAACTTTTGGTAGAAAATAAGAGTCCTATAATATTAAGAATTCTTATAGGAAATAAAACCATAATCGTCCAAATAACTATTTTTTTAAAAAAAAGATGATTTATTAATTAGTTACTTTTCTACTTTTTGTAGTGATAACAATTTTTATCGGACTAAGAATTGATATATCTTAGTATGATTGATATATCTTATCGGACTAACAATTCTTATTGGACCAATCATATAATATAGGAAATAAGAATTGATATAAATTCAAACAAAAAAGGAGCAAATCACGTAAGAAACTACTTGTCGTCTTGTTAAACACTTAAACCACGTAAAAAGGAGAAAATATGAAGCGATAAGAATAAGAATGCGACTTTATTATATATATATATATATATATATATATATATATGATTCCAGATCCACCCAAATATCCAACGGATCTCTTAATCTTTCTCCCGGAACTCTTAATCTTTCTTCCGGAACTGCACCCGATGGGTCCCGAGTCCGGGTCCTGTCACGAAGCATAAATCCACAAACCCCATTATCTTCAGTCGCAAGAGAAGCTCAATTTCAGCCAAAGCTTCTTCCTCATCAGCCACCAATGCAGAAAAGCAGCGGACCAATGAAAAAGTGGTTATCAATTCGAAAACTCTTATTAAGTCTCCTTTAAGTACATCAACAAATGATGAAGAGGATTCATCAAAGCTAAAGCTAAAAGAAAAGCCGGTGACCGGCGCGAGAAGCATGAGAAGGAGCAGCAAAGGGCGGCCTAATGTGAGCAAGCCAGAGCCTACTCCTAATAGTAGCTACAACAAGAGCTCAAGCTCCCAGCAACCGGGTTCAAAGGATAAAGGAGATAAAGCAGAGGCAGCAGAAGGGGATAAAAAGAAGTTTGAAGCAATTGCGAATACAAAAAAGAGTGGTGCTGCAGACTTCTTGAAGAGAATGAAGAACGTGAGCTGGGCTGCTAGAAAAGAGAGTGAGAGGAAATAAGGGATGTGCGGCAGTGGGGGCATTAGGGTTAGAAAAATTTGGAATGAAAGAATGTGTACGCCTTTTGGTTATTTCTGATAGATTGGTATATTTTTTAATTATTAATTAATTAAAACGGATTCGGTTTAATATGGGCCGGAACGGTATATCTCGTATTCGACCCACTTTTTTGTTAGATAAAATGGATTCGAGTCTCGAATCTATATACCTATCCGTATCCCAAAAATGTTGGTGGGTCCGGGTCCGCTGAAAACCCTAGATTCTAGTTGTATATTTTGATATAAGGATTTAATCTCATACTTTAAGGAGTTGATTATATATTTTATATATTGCCAATGTAATCAAACTGCTGACTTTATTGCTAGTTATCAATAGGGTGGATAATGTTATTTTTGAGTCAAATTTCCCCCCGATCTTCTTAGAATTGTAGAGGAAAATAAGAGGGAAAAATTGATGGTTAGAGTGTAAATTTTTCTTTTGTTATATAAAGCTCTCCAATTCTCAAAAAAAAAAATAAAAAAAAAGCGTCATCATTGTTGACGGTAAAACTATCACGCTTTCCGCTTTGCAGGTTTCCAAATACCTCGCTATGAGCAGGAAGGCGTGGTTCCCAATGTACCTTTACGCAATAATACATTTAAGGGATTTTCCAGAGGGTCTACTGATTGCTTATTAGGCCTCTATCCATTGATCTATACACAGTAATCCCTATTTTACTTCTCATAGCGTCCACATGTCTTCGAAAATATTTCCAGTTCTAACAGGTAATCGATTTCAAGGGAAAGGTCTGAATTTCGCCTACTGTCTTATATAAATACTAGTTTCAACTTTCAATTCTTT